GGGCAAGTGGCTCTGATGTCAATGATGACATCTTGTTGACAACACTTGTGAAGTGTTTGCCTGCTCAGCTGCGTCAACATGTGCAGCTGACTATGGATGAGGCCAGCACCTTCCAGCTGGTCAAGGACAAGTGCATTGCCTACGAGAGACTCAGCATGACGTGTTCGAAGGACAAAGTCTATGCAGAGCTTGGTGCAGTGACTTCATATACAACTGACAGTGGTGGTCCATCTGCAATGGAGGTCAATCAGATCTCAAAGGGTAAAGGTAAGAGCAAAGGTGCAAAGGGCAAATCGGGATCGAAAGGCAAAGGAAAGGACAAAGGGAAATCCAATAGCAGCAACTACAAGGGCAAAGGCAAGTCACAGCAGAGTGGCAAAGGGTATGCAACTTCAACCGCCAAAGGTGGAGGAAAGAATCAGTCAAAGAATGCTGATGCAAACCGTTGCAACTACTGCGGTGGCCATGGACATTGGAAGCGCGATTGTCGGAAGTTTCAAGCTGACAAAGCTTCTGGTCAAGTTCGACAGGTGGAGAATGAGGATTCAACACAGAGGGCAGCATCGAGCCCCAGCAATCATTCGACTGCTCAGCACTCAGCAAGTGCGACATCATACAGGTCTGGCGGGAATGTGAATCGAGTGGCTTTCAATGAGAGCTCAGTGGTCATTGAAGATCTGACAGAGTTTTCTCAGCCTGCAGCTCATAGTTCCATTCGTGTGATTCAGCTTGCATGTTCTCAACAGTTTGACATGTCTTGCACTGATCAGGATGATTCATGGACTTGTGCTCCAGGTTGCAACATCGATTTACCTGTCAGGAACCACGTGCGTGTGATGTCAGCAGCAGGTGAACTCAGCTCAGAGATCATTCTTGACTCCGGTGCTGACACAAGTGCTTTACCACTTTCATATGGTGATGTTGGTGAATCTTGCAACGATGTTGGACTTCAAGATTACATTGATGCACAGGGTGGCAAGCTTGACATTCGTGACACACGTCTTGCAACTGTTGACTTAGGGAATGGTGTCATCCTGCGTGAGAGGTTCATCATCGCCAACATCAGCAGCCCACTTCTTGCTATGGGACACATCGTCCGTGCTGGTTGGGAGCTTCATCATTTGAGTGATGGTATTTACCTTGTGAAGAATGACAAAAGCATCAATGTCAACTTTCGCAGAAACTCTTTGTGCGTACAAGGCTGCATCAGAATGGTTTCTCAGGATGATTGTTTCAGCCCTAAGGCAGCTGACACAATTCCAGGTGAGATCAGGGCAATTCACTTGGAACCTGTGCTTAGGCGACTTTTGCCAGGCTGGAACAGGATCAACCCACAGCTTTTTGTGCTGAGAACTCGAAGGCCTAACTTTGTTGACACAACAGTTTGTCCATCAACAGAAATGATGTGGTTGCGTACAACTTTGGTTTTTCGTGATGGTCGTGGCTGGGAATTGCTCGAATTTTCTGAACCTGTCAGTGAGCTGGAGGAACTTGAAGGTGCCATTTACGACCCAGAGTCAGTTTTGGAGGTCATGACATTGGCACATGCCCACTGTGTTCCTTCGGAAGATCTTGGTTTTCGCTTGATTGAAGGTGATCAGAGACCAATTTTTGATGATGACATTCCTGCGGATGAGATGCAGGATGGAGAGGATCAACCTCAACCTGTGCATGAGGCCCCTGCAGACACTGAGGAGGCCGAGCCTTTGTATGAAGACCGCATCATCCCCTTCGAGGAGGACTCTTCAGTTGCAGTTGAAGGTGTTGTCTACACCCCAGATTCCAGTTTGCGTGCTTTGAGAGCTGGTTGCACTGCACTTGGTCTGTCAAAAAGGGGTTCCAAGAAAGAATGTTTCAAGCGCATGGTTGAGCACATGAGAACTCAGAGCCTGATCACTTCACAGAGCGTCGAGGCCAAACTGAAACAGGGTTCAGAGAGACATGCAATCCCACAGCGTAAGCCGAAAGAACCAAGTGAGCAAATCAAAGATGTTCATGCTTTGACACATGAGCCATACGAAGAGTGGTGTAGTCTTTGCGTCACCAACAGGGCCAGACAGGACCCACATCGACGTCAAACTCATGAAGGTGTTGGCCATAGCGTTGTGAGCTTTGATTTCGGGTATTGCAGTCGTATGAAGGGAGAAGAAGATAAGCTGACTGTACTGCTGATACATGACAGAGATACCAACATGTGTGCAGCACTGCCCACACAACAGAAGGGCGGTCGCAGTTTCCAATACTTAGTCACAGAAATGAGCAGATTCATCGTTCAAACAGGTCACACAGAGCTCAGTCTGAAGTGTGACTGTGAGCCAAGCACCACGTCCCTTGCAGAAGCAGTTCGAAAAGCTTGCGCTGGCCTGAGAATTGTGGTTCACTTGGAACCCACACCAACAGGTGACCACCAGGCAAATGGCGCAGCAGAGGCCATGGTGCATGTTTTGCGCACAAAGGCCAACTTGCTTGTTCAACAGATTGAGGAAGCCACAGGATGCACCAAACCAGTTTTTGGTTGTCTTCACCCAGTCTATGCTTGGGCAGTTGTGCACAGCAGTTGGTTGCACAATCACTTTGTTGTGAACAAAGAGACAACTGGATATGAGCGATCAACAGGTCGTCTTTACTCAGGCAAACTCGCTCTTTTTGGCGAAACGGTGCTGGGTTACCTCAAAACTGACTTGAAAGGACTACCAAAATGGTCCAAGGGAGTGTGGCTTACAAAAACCATGATGAATGACTGCCATGTGATTGGAACTGCAACAGGAATCTTTGTCACGAGAAGCATCAGACGACTTCCTACTTCTTTTCAGCTGGAACAACTTGGTGATTTGACAGCCTGCCCATGGGAGTACGGATATGCAAACCTTGGTCATCGTCTTGTTTACTCAAAGAGGGTATCACAACCCTTTGGTGTCGCAGTTGGAGCCAATTTGCAGCTTGGTGACAAGGAAGCTTTAGCTGTCAGAGACTATGTTCGTGCACATCCATATGAGGATGCAGACCCTAAAGCAATCTCAGCCGAGGCGGGGATTCAAAGTTCAAATGAAGCTGGACAAGCAGAGGTTTCAACATCAATTCCTGCGAGTGGAGAGCTTGGAAGTGGTGGCCCATCATCGAGTGCAAGGCCAGATTCAGGAATGCCACAAGCTGAAGGTTCGTTTAGTGGATCTTCGAAGCATGCAATTGAACATGATGATGTTGGCGCAGAGGCCAAACGTTTGCATTTCTCTGGATATGGTGACAGCTTGCCTCATGGTGATGTAGTGCCACAGACACCTGTCTCAGTAGCTGGTGACATACTTGATGATACTCCAATTGAAAGCATGATGAGCCCAGCAAAAGCCAGCAAGCGGGAGAGCGGTGGTGGTGTCAATCTTCTGTGTGCCATTCGCAACATTGAGCACCTAGACATCGAGCCTGATGTCCCTCTTCATTCCGATGATGTGGATGCTTTGATTCAGCATGAATTGAACTTGGATGAAGATCCCTATGAGGTCGAGATCGACATGAATGCGTGTCTCAAGGAGCTTAGCTTTCCATACACTCCACATGAGCCAGAATTGTCACAAGAGGATCTTCAAAAGCTTGATGCAATTGCAGACCAAGTCGAGGTTCAACGGTTGGTTGGACTTGAAGTCCTGAAACAGGACAACTTGCCAGCAGACTGCAAAACCCTGAGCACGAGATTCGTCAGAACTTGGAGAGAGAAGAAGAATGACTCAGGTGAGGCAATTTGGCTTCGTCGCAGTCGACTGGCGGCACGGGAATATACTTGGCTGCAACCAGACAGGGAATCACTCTTTTCCCCTGCAACTTCAAGCTTGGCAAGCAGAATCCTACCAATTTGCTTTTTGGCCATGAGAGAACACCAGGATTGCATTATGGCATCAATAGACGTCAAAGACGCCTTTCTCACAGTGAAACAAGAGGTGGACACTCGAGTGACATGCACAGATGCCAATGGATACTCCGTGCAATACAGCTTAGGCCGTGTTTTGCCTGGGCAAAGAGACGGAAGTTTACTCTGGTACAGAGACCTTGCGAAGTTTGTCAAGGAGTGCACGCTTGAGATGACAGAGCTGGATGCCTACCCAAGCATCTTGAGAAGCAAGACTGGCAACTGCTTCTTGATGGTCCATGTTGATGACCTTCTCATCGTCGGCAGCCGAGACGCCGTGATGAAGCAGCTTGTGCCTTCACTGCAATCGAAATATGCAATCTCCATTGAACTCATGTCAAAGCCTGGAGATGAGGTCACTTTTCTCAAGCGCACCCATGAACTGCTGGAAGATGGCAGGATGGTGATTCGAGTGCATCACAAGCACCTCGATCAGCTGTGCAAGCTTTTGTGTCTCTCAAAGAGACTTCAGAGTAAGAAGACCCCAGGTCACAGCGAGATGGAGATCCCGGACAAGACCCAAGAACTTGGATCTCATGATGCTTCAGTGTACCGCACTTGCGTGGGGATTCTTCTTTACTTGTCAGCTGACCTGCCGCAATGCCAGTATGTGATTCGATATCTATCCACTTTCTCTTCGAAGCCAACTGAAAAATCCCTGATGGTGTTGAAACACCTGGTTGGCTACATGGCAGGACACTCCGAGCAGTGTATGTCTTTGAAATGGAAAGGTTTGCATGCTGGTGTTTTCAAGCAGTACGAGAACGAGGAGCCAATGGTGGAAATTTTCAGCGATGCTGACTGGGCAGCTGACAGGGAGACAAGACGCTCTGTCTCAAGAGCTGCAATTTATGTTGGTGGATGTCTCGCCTATTCAAGCTCCAGGACACAGAAAATCGTGTCACTTTCGAGCGCAGAGTCAGAAACATATGCAGCTGCATCAGCCACCATGGATGCGATCTTGATCACAACCATCTTTTCATGGCTTCTCCAATGTCACTTCATGATGTGTTTGTATCTGGATTCATCAGCGGCGAGAGGTGTTCTTTCTCGCAAAGGTGTAGGTCGTTTGAGGCATTTGTCATGCAGGATCTTGTGGATGCAGGACTTAGTCATGGAAAAGCGTCTACTGGTGAGAGCAGTGATGGGAGCACTCAACCCTGCAGACATTGCCACCAAGAGACTCAGCGCAGCAAGGCTCGAATCTTTGTGTTATTTTTTGGGTATTTGGAGAGGAAACAATCTCGAAGGATCACATGACCCAGGAAACATTTTCAGGCATCTCACAAATCAACGACAACAGGGCCACAGCCAGGCACAGATCAACCTTTTGATTAGCGCCTTGAGCGTGCTTACTCAGCTTCAAGGGTGTTCTGACGCCATGGATTCTTTGGCAACTGGAGGATGTTTCTTCAATGCCGTGTTTTTGTTCACATGGCTGCTGGGTTTGATTGGCTACATTTACCTGGCCATCCGCCCTGGTGAACTCCTGAAGAATTTTGATTTTGTGAGCGATGCTGAAACTTCGAGCACTGATGCCACAGAGGATCCAATGGACAACAGCTCGAACAGCGATGCCTCTGACCATCCAGCTTGGTCCGAAGAAGGCATGGTTCACTGGCTTTCTGAACGATGTGAGAGGAGGCTGGAAAAGGCTGTTACAAAACAGGATCCCACGAGGACAAATCAGTACTTGGCCCGACAGGGTATTCTGAGTGACATGTTGGCTGCTTTGGAGGTGGCCACAGCAGAAACCAGGGGCCACATCAAACAGGTCCTTGAGGACATCACGGATTTGTCAAGTGATGAGGACTCACCCACTATGAACACAGGTGGCCATGACATAGCTCTGAATTCTGGAGTTCCGACAGGTATTGCCACAGCTTTTGTGCATGGAGTAGCTGGTATGACCCTTTGTGGATGCGACTTCGGTGACATCGAAATCTCCAATAACAGCAGTGTGATCCCTTTCACAACTATGGTCTTGACTGCATGGTCCTTGGCACTTGGTGGATACACATGGTACTGGTTGAGACAGCCTGTCAGGCCAGTGTTCTTCCCGCCAACGACCTTGGCGACACATGCAGCTGAAGCTGAACCACAGGTCAATGAGGACTTGCAACTTGAAGGGAGCCTGCTGGTAGCTCTGCGGAGGATCAACGGGCGTCTGGAGAGAGCACAGCGAACAGGCAATATTGAACATGGTTGCTGAGCTGTGTGGCTCACTACGCCAACTGCAGTCCCCAGGAGCGGCTGCGCATGGCTGAGGTGATTGCAGACACATGCAACCTCAGCGAGGATGATGAGTCCCCGCAGCATGGCTTGGGAGAAGATGAAAAACATCTTCAGTTGGCTGAAGCCGACAAGGCCTTTCGTGCCATCATGACTCTCCTCGAGTACGACAGGTTCGAGGAGGTGACGAAGCTGGTCGGACAGCTTGGAGGAGCACTTCGTGAGGTGGTGCCAGAAAGCCCCAAGTCTGATGAGGAGATGGCCGAAGAGACACCAGCAGAGAGAGCACAAAGGTATATGAACTGTGGACAGTCTGAAGCATCAGACCCTGACCTCTGGGCAGACATACACTACGGCCCGAGAAATCGCCGAGATGTGACACAGCCAGAGGATGAGACGGAATTGCAAGAATTCTGAGTGGCGGCAGAGAAATGGCACCACAGAAGAATTTCGCATGGTGGAAAGAAAATCCATCACGTGGAATCAGTGCCGATAGTTTGAAGCAAAAGGACTTCACCCTTAGAAATGCTCCAAAAATGGAAACTCGAAGGTCACACAACTGACCTGCGGAGCTTTAGCCATAGGTGGAACTCCAAAATATTTGGGTTCCAAGGCGGGGTGAAAGATACTTCCGCATTTGGATTCATGTACATGTTCACATCAGTTGTGTAGCTGTGCAGATGACATTGCACAAATCGAGTAGTGCATTTCAGGTATGTACTCTGAGGCGCTTTCGGTTCCAGAAAAGTTCGCAGATCTGTTTTTTTTCTCAATTCACGTTGTGCAGAGGCAAACAACTTTGAATGGAATTTCACTCCAGGACATATCCATTTGTTTGCAGTACATGTGCAGTTCAATTTGGATTCAGTTGCAGACATGTCGAAACATACATGTCAGTTTAGTTACAGTTGCATGTGCAATACATGGATGTCACCGTAGGCGTTTTTGTGCGAGGATCAAAAGGGCGCTGCCAATCATGGTAGCGGAGCCCTAAAGGTCAAAAGGACCTGGGGCATCCACGGGACCGTTCAGACTTGGCTCGTTAGCCAGTCTTTGCTTGGCTCTTTAGCCACCTGTTGCCATGGCTGGCACTACGGTTTCTGCAGATGATTTGGGAGCCTTGATTCAGGCAGCTACTGAAGCTGCAAATGCTGCAGCTGAAGCCACAAAGGCCTTGAAGGCCCAACAATCTTCGAGATCAAGCTTCCAGGAGGCATCAAAAGTTGTTTGTCTTCCTGAACCTTTTGGCAGTGAAAGCCATGAGGACGACTTGGCACGATGGCAGGACTTTCAAGTGAATTTTCGAGCTTGGTTGTACTATGGGAACCCTTTGTTTGAACAAGATCTACATAGAACTGAGCTGCATGGTGCAAGTCCTATTCCTGCTGTTTCTGGTGAACCTGATGAGGTGCAACAGCGATGCAAACAACTGTACAGTATCTTGACAGGTCTTCTTCGAGGAAAACCTCTTCGACTGCTTCGACAGGTGACAGAGCGAAATGGCTTTGAAGTTTGGAGACAGTTGATTCAGTTGTACCTGCCCAAGACGAAATCTAGGTCCATATCGCTGTTGTCAGCCCTCATGAACATCCCCAACTTCACCACCAAGGACCGGACACTTTTGGATCAGATTCTTGGTCTTGAGCGTTTACGCTCTGAGTATGTGCGTGCCTCTGGAACTGACTTGGATGACAACATAATGTTGAGTGTGCTGGTTCGAGCTCTTCCCAAAGGGATACAACAGCACATCCAGCTGCAGATGAGTGAGAATTCAACTTACAGCCAAATCAGAGACCTGGTGCTTAGCTATGAGACCGTTACAACAACATGGAGCCCTGGAAAGATCCACAATGAGCTTGGCATTTTGCCACAACAACAGCCTGTTCAGCCTTCTTACACTGGCGTTGCTCCAATGGAGATAGATCGCTTTGAGAAAGGAGGCAAGAAGGGAAAGTCAAAAGGTAAGTCCAAAGGAAAAGATACCTCCAAAGGGAAGTCCAAAGGTAAGAATGATAAGGGTAAAGGAAAAGGTGTTGGCAAAGATACCTCAAAACGTGTTGCAACCCAGAATGATCAATGTTTGCATTGCGGCAAGTATGGTCACTTTAAAAGGGACTGTTGGAAGTTGAATGGAAAACCTGGTGCCTCTAGAGTGAACCAAGTTTCAGACGAGACCCAGAGCGTTGCTGGCAGTGCTGCGCCTTCGACAGCTTCGACTTCTTTGCCTTCAAGTGCTAGTGCTGTGCGTCTCTTTAGCGCTATGGCCTCACCTGTAATTGAAGAGCTCTGCAGTGAAGATTCTGACTTTGAGTTGCGCGACCTCACTGTTTATGATACCGGTGGCAACATCAACATGGTTTCACATGCTGAAGTTTCATTTGATGACAACCTTTGCATGGCCGACACAGCATACATGGAGCGTTTTGTGCACTTTGATATTTCATATAGTGATGATGATGATTCATGGATTTTTTGCAATTCACCCAGCTTTGACTTGCTTTCCAGTGATGTTTGCATTTCTGACGAAGTGGACTGTATTCGAGCAATTGGGTCTACCAGCCCTACGCCTGTGGAGGTGGTGCTGGACTCTGGTGCTGATGGCTCGGTTTTACCACTTGAATATGCCCACATTGGTTTGCACGATGAAAGTTTTCACAAGGACTCTGCATATGTTGATGCCCAAGGTAAGCCAATAAATGTGCGGGGAGCTAGGATTGCTGAAGTTCAACTAGGATCAGTGCGCTTCAAAGAACGTTTCATTATTGCTGCTGTCACTTCACCACTCATTTCAATGGGTAGACTGTTGAAGGATGGATGGTGTTTGGAAAACAATGGTGGTACTATGAAACTTGTGAGAGCTGGCAGGAGCATACCAGTTCATTTCAAACGAAACTCACTTTGTGCACATGGTAGCATTAGGATGCTGAATGTTGTGGACGATTCTTCAACGCCCACTGCCCAAGAGTGCAAGGAACACGTCAGAGCCCTTGCGTTGAGTGAACCACTTTCAAGTCTTGGTCGAGGTTGGATTCAACTTTCTGAAAATGTTTATGCACTACGTAGTATCTCACCTCAACATGTTGATACAACTTTTTGCGTGAGTGATGCACTATTGTGGTTGCGTACAACATTGGTCAAGCATGATGATGATACATGGCACTTGGATGAGTTTTGTGAAAATATTTCAGAAATGGACTCACGAGTTAGTCCAATTGAGTCTGCAAAGAAAGTTGCGGAGGTGATCACAATTGCCCACACGGAGTTTGTTCCACCTGAGGCCCTCGGTTTTTCAGTTTATGATGATGCGGTTGTACCTGCACTCTCAAGTTCTTTTCGTGCTTCAGCTTCATCCAGTTCAGCTCCATCTTCATCTGCGCCCAGGCCTGCAGCTGATGCCAATGCAGCGCCTGACCCTGTTCCTGCTGCCGCTGATGAACAAGAACTGCCAGTGGCTGATAGAGAAGTTGGTGTAGAAGTTAGAGAAGTTTTGATAGATGGAGTCAAGCTGGACAGCAACTCATCGTTGAACACTTTGAGAGGTGCATGCGATGCCCTTGGACTTTCGAAGGGAGGAGGCAAGGTCAAACTATTGCAAAGACTTTGGGAACACTTGCAAGCTCAAGAACTTATTGCAGCTCACTCTGCAGAACGCAACTTGCAAGGTGAACAGATGAGACCAGCTATAGGCCAACCAGTTCCTGCTGAACCAACGGAAGCGCAACGTGCCCAGCACAATTTGGTGCACTACCCATATGCTGCATGGTGTGAACTTTGTGTTGCAAATCATGCCAGGCAAGATGGACATGAACCTCAACCACATGTCGACTCAGGCCACAGTTGTATTTCTTTCGACTTTGGCTATGCTGCACGAAACGATGATGATGACAAAATTTGTGCACTTTTCTTGCATGGCAGGCACACTGGTGCCATGCATACGGTGCCTACACCCCAGAAAGGTGGACGTTGGCTCAACCACCTATGCACGGAGTTTTGCAGGTTCATACTTTGGCTTGGTCATGAAACAATTTCACTGAAGTGTGATCAGGAGCCTTCGACTTTGTCTTTGCTGGAGGCCGTGAGGAAAACATGTAGGTGCTTGGGAGTCAAAACAATTGTTGAGACTGTTGCCCCTGGCAGCCATGCTTCAAACGGAGCGGCAGAAGTCACAGTGAAGCTGCTTCGACGTCAGGCCAATTTACTGATACAACAACTGGAACGTGGCTGTGGAATCCCAGAAGGTACAATTGGATGTCAACACCCTTTGTATTCATGGTCACTTCTTCATGCGGCATGGTTGCATAACAGGTACGTTGTGAAACAGGGACACACTGCTTATGAACTTTGTGCAGATAGGACCTACAGTGGTCGAGTAGCCATGTTTGGTGAATGTGTCTTAGGATTACCTACGACAGTCAGCCAAAGGAGCCCCACAATGGACGAAAGGCATTTGGCTTGGGAAAACAATCAACAATGATGTCAACATCGTTGCAGTTCCTGGCAACAACCAACTGTTTGTGACACGTAGTATCAGAAGGTTTCCAAATGCGTGGAATGGTGAGATGATGAGTCAGGTGGAGACCTGCCCTTGGCAATTTTCATATGCCTCTTTAGGTTCTCAGTTGATTTTGGCCAAGAGGATTGCTCCACCAACACCAGCCCCTTTTGTTTCAGCTCCTCTCAGGGATGAAGATGCAGAAGCAGTTAGAAATGTGCAGTTGGACTGCAAGTTCCTTCAACTCCATTGGATGGAGCAACACATGCTGCAGGCAGTGCTTTGGAAGCACCTTCGAGAGGCATGGACACTTCTTCAGGTGTCGTGCACCCACTTGAGACTGCATCAGAAGAGTCTGAGAGACCTTCGAAACAAGCTAGAATACTAGCTATGTTTGAGCACGAGGATGCTGAGCACCCCACAACATTTGATGATTGTGAGGTTGATGAGTTGGAAGCCTATGACTTTTCGTTGGACGAAGAGCTGAACAACAAGAGTGATGATGTCAGTGATGCTGCTTTGTTGAAACAACTTTGTTTTCCTTACTCCACTGCTGAATCTCAGCTTAGTGAAAGTGAGCTACTTCGAATTGACACCATGGCCGATCACCTTGAAATCTCCAGGTTGAAAACAATGGGAGTCTTACTTCCTGCTGATGGCTATGACTACAAAGGTCAAACGCCCAAAAGACTGACAACAAGGATGGTGAGAGCTTGGAGAGACAAACATATAGATGGAGAAAGAGTTTGGCTACGTCGATCGAGATACGTAGCACGTGAGTTTGCTTGGTTGAGTCCAGATAGACAAGATTTGTTTTCACCAGCATCTTCAGTGATCACAACAAGGTTACTGCCTACGCTCTTCATGAAGTGGAAGACTGATGGCTATGTGCTATGCTCAATAGATGTTGGTGATGCTTTTCTAATGGTTCCTCAAGAAGAACTTACACAGGTTACATGCGTTGATGCTTCAGGTGCCACCATGGAGTTTGTCCTCGGCCGTGTGCTTCCAGGCCAGAGGAACGGGTCACAGATGTGGCACGATGCTTTTAGCAGTTTCTTGCGTGATGAGCTGAAGATCACCCCTTGTGATGCATACCCCTGCCTACTTCGAGCTGAAAACTCAGAATGCGTCTTGCTGCTACATGTCGATGATGTTCTTTGCTTGGTGAAAGAGAACTACCTGAACAACACGTTGGTACCAGCCTTGCGTGCCAAGTACAAGATATCGTTGGATGTAGTTTGCAACGAGGGTGATGAACTTACGTTCTTGAAGAGAAAACATGTGATGGTCAGCCCAAACCAGCTAGCCATACAAAGCCACCCGAAACACCTTGAAAAACTGTTTGAGCTTTTGAAGATCAAACGCAGCCTGATGCCAAAGAAGACACCTGGCCACCCACTGTTGGATGAACCCGACAATTCCAAAGAGTTGGACGCCCAATATGCAAAGATATATAGATCATGTATTGGTATTCTTTTGTATATCTCCAGTGACTACATCGAATGTCAATACAGCATACGTGCGTTGTCGCAGTCGATGTCAAAGCCCACAGTGAACTCGTTTGCATGCTTGCGACACTTGTGTATGTACTTGTTGGGATGCATGGAAAACTGTCTTATTTTGACTTACAAAGGTCACCATGGACTTTTGCACTACACCCCTGAGGACTACACGTTGGAAGTCTTTTCAGACAGTGACTGGGCGAAACACCGCTCAACCAGGAAATCAGTTTCTTCTGGATTCATATTCCTATTTGGGAACTTACTGTATTCAAGTTCACGATCACAGAAAGCGATAGCACTTTCTTCAGCAGAAGCTGAAATTTATGCAGCAACTAGTGCATGCTGCGATGGTGCACTGTTGGAATACTGCCTGTGTTTCATTGTTGGAGGAGAGGACAAAGTGGTCACCTTCATCAAGATGGACAACTCAGCAGGCAGATCCTTCTTTTTACGTTCTGGAGTGGGACGTATTCGTCATATCAGTGTTCGTGTTTTGTGGATGCAGCAAAGAGTGAAAGAAAAAGGTTTAGTTCCTTCAAAAGTTCCCAGCCGTGAGAACCCTGCAGACTTGGGGACCAAACGGTTAGCAATAGGATGGAATACCTTATGTGTTTATGCAAAGTATACAACATGGACACCTCTGAGTTTGTTGGCATGAATGCCTATGACAAGATACAAGAACAGGACAACATGAAGGCCAGTATTCGACTTCTTAAAGAACAAGGATATAGCGCCCCCAAACAACTTCTGAGAATCCTCCTTCTCGCCTTGAGTCCTTCGGAAATGGCTATGGCAATCTCTACCGATGCAATTTCAGCTGACCTCAGCCCGAGCTCAAGCTTCATGGACTACAAGAATGTGATGATAGCAACCCTGCTTACGCTGCTCTGTGGTGCATTGGCTGTTTGCTTCTACTTGCGCTTTGCACTGGGAGTTGCGAGAGGCGAGAACTTCGCCAAAGGCATGGACCAAAAGTTACATGAAGTTTTGGACCTACTTGAGTCTAAAATGGGTTGGGGAATATATGAAGGAAAACCTGAAACCCTGCAAGAGAAACGTCGCCGTTATTTGGACAGCGAGATGTGTGAAGTTTCAGATGACGAGTATTGGCGTCACATCCACTATGGGCCACCCTGGACTGATGAGCATGATCATGGAGAAGGAGAAAGATCAGAATCTCCTCTATCAGAAGATCCTGCAGTTCGTCCTTCATCTTTGCCGCCTGAGCTTAGGCAATCGATGCTTGAGACCAATGCTGTGCTTCGATCCCGAGTGGAACGCTTGGAAGCTGACTGGGAGCGTGCACAGTGGCATAACGACTCTTTAGCGATGGCACAGATCGAGGGACAAATCAGAGAAGCCCATGGAATGATGTATGCCGACGTAGATGAGACTTGAGAGAAGTTTCGAAGGATGTACAGAGTTTTCAACATGCAACAGAGAAGGAAGAATCTACTGCCCTTTTGCCGTGAAGGCTTTGGAGATAGCCTTAGTAGATTTTTTACAAAGGTTTCAGCTGCTGACTTAAAAGAAGTCGCATCTGAGGCGGGGTGAATGGAATTTCACTCCAGGACATATCCATTTGTTTGCAGTACATGTGCAGTTCAAGTTGGATTCAGTTGCAGACATGTCGAAACATACATGTCAGTTTAGTTACAGTTGCATGTGCAATACATGGATGTCACCGTAGGCGTTTTTGTGCGAGGATCAAAAGGGCGCTGCCAATCAAACTTTCCAGTTCATTTACGTTGATCTCACAACAATGTTTTCCTAAGTAAGATTGTTTGCCAAAAAAATTTCATCAAACAATCCTGGTGAGTGAAATGGCAAATGAATTCTATGAATCGCCGTTCAGTCAAGTGGAACAAAGGTTCCACTCCTTTCACAGGGAAACCATTTCCTTTGTTTGACCCACCCACAAGACACGTTTTTCTCCCTCCCTGGGGGAATATTTCTTAGGAACTGCAAGCAAATGGCAGCAGTATGGATGTCAAAACTCAGAAACCAAAACAACTGGAAACGTTCCCAGTAAGCATGGCCCAATGCTTTTGCCAAAAAGTCGGAAACCAATCCGATCTGTGAACTTCCCCGTGTGACTGTGAGCAATCCAGGACAAAAAAGGGCCATTCCGTTTCTTGATCATTTGCTGAAGCCGTACCAGTTTGATCACATTCATTTTCGAGTTGCAATTTCGTTTGAAGAGTTTTGTTTTTGAATTTTTCGATGGCGGTCAGAATAGATGCCAGTCGACGTATCGCGTGCGCGTTGGTTGTATATTTATTTATAACCTTGTTCCTCGCGTATTGCGTTTCTCAACCTCCTTTCTGTTTGTCTCCCTTTTCTCCAACCTACACTTTAGTTACTGTTTGTTCCACGGCCATTGCCCCCCAAAAATAAATTTTTGAGAAAGATTTTACTCCTACATATACCTTCAGACATGCCTTGCAGTATGCATTCAGGTATGGACTCAGGTGGACTGCAGAGAGACTCCAGTGGATGACACGCACAAATCGAAACGAGAAGTGTACAAAGATTCACCCAATTGCACATGAATAACATTGTGCTTACCCCAGGCCCTGTGGTTCAAAATAGTTTCGCTGCCCGCTTCGCATGGTAGCGGAGCACCTTGTGCTTCCTACCTGCAAGCATTTGCCGATCACCTGTCAGTGCCTTGCTTGAGGCCATAGCGCTGACTGCTTCCTTTGGCGGCTTTCTGGATCAGGGCACAGCTGTATTTGTGGATTTTCAGGAGTGGTGGCCTACAGGTTTGAGTAAAGGATTGGACAACTGACCTTGGCACTGGACATAGAACAGTCTGCATACTGTTTTGTCAATACCTCAGATTTTTGGCGTGGTACAATTTCTGGTGGGTGACATTTTACAGGTTTTGACTGGCGTTTGTGTGCGGTTGGAATTGATTTCAATTTGGGATACAAGCTTGGTGTGAAAACTTGCTTGGAGATTGAATTTGAGGAGACGGCCACTTGTTGAAACAATGGCGCAGGAGTTCAACCCTGCGATATTTCAAGCAGCCTTGCTTGAAGTTGCAGAAGCTACCAAAGTAGCTACAGCTGCTGTCCAGGCAATGCAAAGTGCCCAGCAGCCAAACAATCCACAAGGAGCTACAGCTGCTGCTTCTGGGAGCCCTACAGGAGCACAACATGGATCAATTGATTGGTCAAAGTTGGTAAACAAACCACCGCTGTTGGATGGAAAGACAGTTGAGGATGAAATTCGTATGTTTCGAGACTGGCTATGGATGTTGACACAGTTTTTGAACACCATAGATGCTGGTTTTGAGTCAGAGATTCAATCAATTGTGGATAGCCCTACAGCACCCTTAGATATGTCTACGGCAAGTTCAGAGACGAGACAACGTGGAGCCAAGCTTTACGGCCTTCTTGCATCGTTGTGCAGAAACCGCAGTTTGAATGTGGTGAGATCAGTGAAACAAGCTGATGGGTTCGAGGCGCTCAG